AGAGAGAGAGAAACCGCTACCATCACCACCATTACGACTACCATTCCATCATCTCTCCCGCCACCACCCCCACCATTATTTACCATCACTATGGATTCAATCAACTAAGTGAGAGAGTCTTATTGTCAGGTGTGTGGGTCTTATTGTTTTGCGCTTGTGAGACCTCACTTGGATTATGCAGTTCAATTCTGGTCACCGTACTACAGAATGGATGTAGAATCCCTAGAAAGAATTCAGAGGAGAATAACAAGATTAATCCCGGGCATAAGGAACCTTGAGTAAAGAGACAGGTCAAAGCATCTTAATTTGCACTCCCTCGAGAGACGTAGAGTGAGGGGCGATATGACCGAGGTGTATAAATGGAAGTCAGAGCTAAACAAAGGTGATATAACAAAGGTACTCAAACTATCCAACCAGGAGCGAACTCGTAGCAATGGTTTTAAATTAGACAAATTTAAATTTAGGCGCGAAAATGGTAAACATTGGTTTAGATTCAATAAGAGTAGTGGATGAGTAGAACAAGTTATCAAACATCATCATTAACTCCAATATGCTGGATAGCTTCAAACATATGGATATACAGTATAAGCGATAGGGGTTGGGTGTAAACGGAAGCTGCCCAGTATGGGCCAATAGGCCCGCTGCAGTTTCCTCCATTCTTATGTTCTTATGTCCATCATGTTCAAGAGAATGGAGATCACGCTCAAGAGGATGGGTCACGGATTCCTAAGGTTAATTCATTATACTCAAAGAGTTACGTGATCGTATTTAAAAAGGTAAAATTATTGCATTCAGATGATTATAATCGTATTCGAAGGGTTGTCATCTTATTCAAAAAGTTAAGCAACAGTAATCAAAGGGTTAAACCATCATACTCAAAGGGTTAAATTATCATATTAAGAGGTTCTAAACAATCATACTCCAAGGGTTAAATAATCATAATTAAATCGTTAAACCGTAGTAATTAAAGGGTACTCCGTGTCAAACCATCGTGCTCAAAAGTTTAATCATCGTATTCAAAGGGTTAAATCACAATACTAAGGGTTAATTCATAGTATTGAAAGGGTTAAACCATCATAATCAAAGGGTTAAGCCACACAAAGTAATTAATGCCCCTCACACTATTTCTCTCTCATATAAACACCTGTAGAAGTCTAATTACTAACCGAATTTTTCTTTTTTCCTTCTGTTTACAGGTGACCTGGACAATGCAAGACTTCCTGCTGATACTACTCCTGCAGGTGTTACTCGTGACTCAGGTAAGCCAGTTTACATAAAACAGTACTAAGTAGTCATAGTAGTATACTTAGTGATAATTAAACCAACATATACACTATACAGCGTCATGAAAATTGACTACCCAAGTTTTAAACGAGTACATGATCAAATTAAAGAGATTTATTTTCAAATGAACGAATACTAAAATATAATGTATGAATATACTGTAGGTCCAAACATTACCGCGATTTAAGTAACCGACTTCCGCTTCTTTTACACACACACACACAAACACACACACACACACACACACACACACACACACACACCACTATTACTACTTTGATGTTACTCGGAATCGAGTATGACGATCATCCAGCTATAATACAATGATATGAGTTATTAAGGACGTCACCTAGGTTGGCGAGTTCTGAGGTGACTAAAGATGTTGCACATGTGGGGGGCTACATCTCGTGCGGGAGGGGCGGCGACAGCGTCTTTCCGGATTTGGCGCTTCTCTGCCATATTATGCAGTCAGGCTAACTCGAAAGTATTGACACCTTCATGTGTGGTGCTCCTCCAAGCGTTACGGTGTGGAGTAATCGTCTCCCAGGTGAGGGGGGTCGATTTGGCACTTTTTCAGTTGCCCGCCAGCGTTACGTTTATTATTTGTTAGGTGACTGTAAAGCAGCTGCTTTGGTAGTCTACTGTCGTCCTTAAAAGGGTAACATGGCCAGTCCAGCGTAGTTTTTAATGGATAATGGTATCCTTGATGCTTCTACAGTTGGTATCAGCAAGAATACTGGCATTTGTTCTCGTATTCTCAGCGAACTCGGAGGATGGAACGTAGACTACGTTGGTCAAAGTTTTCAAGTGCCTTGAGGTGCCTCCTGTATGTGACCCATGTCTCGCTGCCATATAGCAGGGTGGGGAGGGCCACTGCTCGATATATGTGAAACTTTCTAGATAATTTCAACTCCCTACAGCTGAAGACACGGTGGTCGACAGGTGGAAGCCGAGATCCCGAAAAGGGGTAACAGAGAGGGTAGTAACGTTAAGCTGGATGGATGATGGAGGTGTGGCTAAACTAGGGGCAGGCTGAAAGCGAATCCGAGTATTACGTACATTCACCTCAAGGCCGAAGTGTGCATACGCATCTGCGTATACGTGTTCAGGATCTCCTGTACGTCGCATTCAGTGTGAGCAACAAGGATGAGGTCGTCTGCATACTGAAGATCAGTAATGGAAGCTGCCAACAGCTTTGTTCCTGCCTGGAGTCGTCTTTTGCTGAAAAGATCCTTCATACGGTACTCGGTCCACCCTGCCGGCTAAATTGGCACTGGCACGAGTAAGGAAAGCAGTCAAGAAAATGCATTAATTGAGACAGAAAGTGAAAATGACCTGGGTGTGTATGTCGACAATGAGCTTAACTTCTCGGGCCATTGTGAGGGAGAAGGTGAATCAGGCAACGAAACTAGAAGGTCGTTTAGATATCTGGATGGTCCGTCGCTCGTCACGATCTTCAAGAGTGAGGTGCGTCCCCGTCTGGAGTATTGTCACCCCGTCTGGTCTCCGATGTATTCTAGAGATTGTCAGTCGATTGAAAATGTCCAAAGGATGGCCTCTAGACTGGTGCCTGGTCTACTGAACCTCAGTTACCCTGAGAGATCGGAGCGCCTGCAACTACTTAGCTTATACGACAGACGAGCGAGGGGCGACCTAATCGAAGTGTATGAAAATTTCGGTCGAATGTACAGTCTCGTTCAAGATTCTTTGAACACTGCTGGAGACAGCTGGCAACTCAAGGTCGTTTGTTTACTGTAGTACGTAGTATAATATAATACGAAACAACAAAGCCCAACCGTTAATTAAGCAACAGGGAACTAAGAAGCCAATCACCGACCACTTTTACATTCATTCAAAATTTTTACTACGTACTATAGTAAACAAACGGCCTTGAGTTGCCGGCTGTCTCCAGCAGTGTTCAAAGAATCTTGAAAGTGACTGTACATACCTGGAGTTGGCGGACGTCCGCCTCACAAAGAGTCACAGCTCAAGGTTGAAGAAGCCGCAAGTCCAGAAAACTGTCAGGGCAAAATTTTCCGGAGTGAGAATTGTGAACTCTTGGAACAATTTGCCGCAGAGCGTTGAGACGGCACCGAGTGTGAACTCATTCAAGGCCAGACTTGACCAACACTGGAGCAGGTTCCGATATACTCGTATTCGGGGATCAGCGCCTGCCCAGTACTTGCCAACAGTGCGTAACAGAGACGTGACCGATCGCACAAGCGGATAACGAGCCGATCAATGGTAAAGAGGATAAAAGTAAAGCGGATAAAAGTAAACAGTATACAGTACAGGTATACAGTGACTTCATACCTGCACTGTCTATGTATGCTGTATACTTGAACTGTTTATGTCACTGTATACCCGTACTGTCTATGTATACTGTATATCTGCACTGTCTATGCATACTGTATACCTGCACTGCATATCTGCACTGCATATCTGCACTCTCTATGTACACAGGTATATAGTGCAGGTATACAGTCTACATAGACAGTACAGGCATACAGTGACTATACCTGCACTGTCTATGTACACTGTGTACCTACACTGTATATCTACACTGTCTATATACTGTACAAACAGCCCAGCCACCCGAACGGCTATTAGTTGGTAAGTGGTGAAACCATAATTTAATTAAAAAAGTAACTCGTTAATGCGGACCACATTAGATGTAAGTATTAATAATTAATGCGCTACCCTCCGTAATTTTTAAATATGTATGCTTATACAGCATGAATCTTTACTTAATATAATTTAATATAATAAATAAACTTCAGATGAGGGCAACACGAATAAAAAGTATTGGAGTATATGTTTAAAATTAAGTACGATTTAACGTTTTCTATGATGAATAACACTATTCGTTTTCTGTAAGAATGAATTTGTACTCTATATGGTAAACTTCTACATTATCACTCCCATTACGAACGAGACAAGAGAACAATGGTTAACGAAGACTTTTGTGAAGGTAGCGATTCAAGAAGACATTTCATCAGTGCTAAACGACGACCTCCATGAACTTTTCAAACGGTGATAAATATATTGAGGCCTCCTGAGGAAATATGCTTTCCCGGTCGCCTTGGGTTATCCAGGATTGAATACTGTTTAGCATTGTTTGTATATGGGTTCGACTCCCGGGCCGGTGGAAAAGTTGTTTGGACATACTTCCTAGCCCCCTTGGTCCCTGTTTACCTGGCAGTAATGTAGGTACCTGTTGTAAATCGAAAGTTGCGAATTCGTATTCAGGGAAAGTTGTTGGAGCTTCCAATAACTTGATGACATAAAACCATTGACTCTTCAGGTTTCTACGCCCTTGACCCTTCAGGCTTCTACGCCCTTAACTCATGAGACATAAAGGCAAGCATGAACTTAGCATGCTTCCCTGTTGGGCGCTGTAAACGATTCTGCGCTTCACCTAACACAGGCTGTAGGTGCAAAAAAAATGTTTGTATATCTACACTGTCTTTGTATATTGTATGCCTGCACTGTCTATGTACGTACATTGTTTATATGCCTGGACCTCATCATAAATAACGAGAAGGCACCAGTCAGCACGTAACGTTGTCCTTCAGATTTAACCGTTACTTGGTTCACGACAAAACCAGGCGAAGGTTCAAATATTACAAGGGAAATTACGACGGGATGAGGGAGGAGATTAGGGGTATTCACTGGCCTGACTCACTAAGGTCTAAGAATGCTGACACTACGCTGAATATCATAGCCAGTAAAGTTAACGATCGATAAATATATACCTAAGACCAAACCCAGTGCATCCAAGAATACAAGGAAACCGTTACGCATGAACCATGTGGCGGTTGACAAAGTTAAGAAGAAAACTCAGGGTTTCGAGACGTGGGTTAGGACAAATGATGAGCAGGACAGGAGGATGTATGTCAGATCCAGGAACCAAGCAAAGTCAGAGTGTAGAAGGGCTGAAAAGGGTTCAAAAGCAGATTGCAAACGAAGTCAAGTCAAACCCATAGGCTTTCTACCGCTACGCAAAGTCGAAATTAAAAACGCGAGTAGGCATATCGGACCTCAGGTTTGAAGATGGTAGTTACGCAGATTCTGACCAGGACAAGGCAGAGGCGTTGAGCAAATCACTTACCTCGGTGTTCACAAGAGAGGATGCGAACAGTCTTCCTGCGTTCGAGGAAAGATGGTTTGACACAGCGCTGACTCACATTGTGTTCTCAGAAGAGGGCATAAGAATCCCGGCCCTGACAAGATGACTCCCAGAGTGCTAAGAGATTTGTGCAACGAGCTTGTGGAGCCTCTTAAGATCCTGTTCTGTAAATGCCAAGATGAACAAAAGGTCCCCAATGACTGGAAAATGACTTAAGCGAGTCCTATATTCAAGAAAGGCGATCGTCACTCCACGAATGATTATAGACCAGTGAGCCTAACCAGCATAGTATGTAAAGTACTAGAAAGCATCACAAGAGAAGCTTTTGTGGAACATCTAGTACAAAACAACCTTGTAAAGGACTGCCAACATGGTTTTATGCCGGGATGACCCTGCTTAACACAATTACTCAAGGTACTGGATGGTTGGACTCAAATTAAAGAACAAGGCGGAAATATCGACACCTTCACACCGTGATATTTTATGGAGGTCTGAGACTGAGAGGAGCACAGGGAGGAGGTGGTTTAAGTAGCTCTGGGTGTCTTAAGTTGTATTTCTGATTATTCCGGAAATGGAAATATTTGTTGTCAAGCAAGTGATTGACAGATTTGTAAACAAATAGGACACGGCAGTAGGTGTTAATATCCTCGAATTTTAACATTTTCAATTTCGCAAATTGTTCGTTTGTGTGATCAGTTTTTTCAAGTAGGTCATTGTCCGCAAAACTCTCTTTTCTGCAATAATCAGGGGTTGTGTTTTTGAAGAGCCAGAGTCCCCCTCCCATAGTGTGTGACAGTGTATCAGGTGTTGGTAAACAAGATCATAATAGATTTCTTTCATTGCTGAGAGAGTGAGTGACTGTCGAGTGTGATACATGATACCACATTGTTTATTGACTTTACTGTGAATGGCTTGTACGTGGTTTCTCCAGCTAAGGTTGTTTATTGTTGGGTTGTTTATCTGCTCATAGTCGAGTTCCTATCTGAAAGCAGGTTCTACCGCTTGATCACACACACACACACACACACTAAAAATTGACCAAGATAATATCAATACGCGTCCTAGATATTGTAAACATTTAGGTTATTCCTTTATATGAGCACACAGAGTCTCTCACCTCAATAATTAATATATCAGAGTTGTACAGTACATTAAGAAATACAGAAATACGTGTCACTAATGTCTCTTATTTCAGATATTCATCAACCAGTTACATTTTGCGTCACTCCTTTCCTTTATTATACTGTGTGAATTAGTTTATTTTACTTATCTTTCTTCTCTCTATCTCTCTCTCTCTCTCACCTTTCCCAGATCAATTTTCTCTCTCCGTCACTCTTATTCATACGTGTCTTTCCCCTCCCTAGGGTGAGGGTACGCGGGGTGCTGTGAAGAGGGTGTTAGTGAGAAGTAATGTGGAGCACCGATACGCCGTCACCTCCTTCGTCGCCACCCTCAGGAACCCTCGACCAAGTCCTGAGCAACTCACCCTCACTGTCATTCTGCCCAGTGACGCCTTCGTCTCATCTCTCACCATGTTAGTGTTTCCGTTAAGTGTATGAAGGAGGAAAATAAATGTATAAAGGAGTGTGTTAAGTGTGAAGGTGACACAGTGTACCATAGTTAAACATGTAATAATGTACTGTCACCATTAACACGTTACGGTACGTTGGTAGGTCGATAAATATTTTATTAATATTATTATGTAACGACAGCATGTAGCATAGTGTTTGGCCGTTCACCTTCCATCCAGCCGGGGGGTAAAAAAAACTTAGCATTTTGACAGGATTTAATAATTGTGTGTGTTATGTACGCTGTGTGAATACGGAAATGTTCAAACCAGCCCCTCGAGATATACCAGGCAAACACACAGATACGTGAGAAAAACTAACACAGCCAACTGGCATATACTGTACCTACCACCCCTCCCCACCCCGTTCTCCCAAGCGAGCTGGGTATAACAAAAAAAAACAGATTCAGATAAAAATGCATATTCTGTATATGATTTAGAGAAAAATATCTTATTATTGACCCAAAACACAGATATTGTTTCTCACTCTTGATCTTGTTTTTTTTTGTATTATTATTATTATTATTATTATTATTATTATTATTTGTTTTTTTTATAAATTTGATTTATTATGGATTATTATTATTATAATTATTATTAAATTTTCGCCCCCCAAGCCCCGATGTGGGGTCAGTGACCTGTGCCTGGGTAAGCTAATCCCATTAAAAAAAAAAAGTTGTATTAATAGACATGACACACTGTCCAGGTAAAGCCCTGGCTGAAACACACACACACACTGGAGCAGGGGTACTAAGAGTAATCCCCTCAATGTCCAACTAGCTTTATGACAATTAATCTATTTCAGATAAAATTATTGTAATCATCGAATAATTAAACAAGTAATCCTTTAACCTACACATTATATTAACGAGTTCACGGTACTATTAATAAACAGTTTAACAAACTTCAATTTCCTGTCATGTTATTGGTCTACTTGATACACTAAAAATAAAACAAAACATGAGCAGGGTTTCTGAGTGTGCATACTGGCAAACTTTTTAAAACTTATATGATCACTGCTAAACCCTTGCAGGTAGAAAGGGTATATAATTCTGTAAATTCTTACCCTACAGATGGGGATATAAACATCAATGTATTAAAAACCCTTAGTCAGCCAAAAGGTATATCAAGGTGAAAAGAAACCCTCTGGAAACTCGGCGCTGATCGTACTCACATTACCGTGTGTGCACCACTTATCACCCTCCACCATCCAGTGACACACACCTTCGGCAAGACAGTTCTCACCTGTCTTTCAGTTTCCCGCGGATGCTGTAAAAAGCGGTACCACCAACACTGGTGTTGACTCGTGGGTGAAGCGTGTTGGTGTTGACGTGTGGGTGAAGTGTGTTGGTGTTGACGCGTGGGTGAGGTGTGTTGGTGTTGACGCGTGGTTGAAGTGTGTTGGTGTTGACGCGTGGGTGAAGTGTGTTGGTATTGACGAGTGTGTTAGACTCCCGACTGTTGGCATACACTCACCATATTAGGTTTCCACTTTGCAATAGTCGTTTTGCCATAAAGACGGGTCATGACTTATCTTTCTAGTACACCCACGACCTTCACTAACACTGTCACTGAAGGACGAACTCGTTGTCACTTAAACTACTTTTTAATTACCCCCCAAAAAAATAGTTTAAAAAATATTTAAGTATATCTCGATTTCTCGCGGCGGGCTTAACGCCGCTCAGTGTTGCACTGATTGGCTCTGAAGAAGTCAAAGAGTAACCCTGTGCTCAGTGGCTCGCTTGGCATATTCGAAACCGAGGGCGTTTTAAATATTCCTTGGTGTTGACGCGTAGGGGAGGTGTGCTGGTATTAACATGTGAGTGAGGTGTGCTGGTATTAACGTGTGAATGAGGTGTGCTGGTATTAACGTGTGAGTGAGGTGTGCTGGTATTAACATGTGAGTGAGGTGTGCTGGTATTAACATGTGAGTGAGGTGTGCTGGTATTAATGTGTGAGTGAGGTGTGCTGGTATTAACCCACCCTGGCTCTCGTACTCGCAATTTTACTTGGCAATACTTGGTGAAGCAAGGTTGTATGTAATGGAGATTGTGATTGGTGGATCCATTTTCGGCTGTACCACCGACAGGATAAATATTAAACACTCCAAATTCATTTTTTTTATAATAATCTATTCGTCGTTATTTAAGATCATGAGAGGTTTCCAAATGTTCGTATATTTGTTTAAATAATGAAGAAATTATATTAATGAATGTGCAACACAGCTACAACAAGAGCTGCCACAAGATTCTCACATCAAATTTACAAGAATACTTAACTGGAGGCGATTCAGTTGACCACGGTTAAATAACTGCCTCACCATCCAAATAAGTCTTCTAACCAGTTTTCTTCTATTTTCATCGACTGGTAGTTGATAGAAACTTAAAGAAAGTATTTCCCTTGTCATTGAAAGACAATCTGGCACACAACAATTAAACTTTTAGCGGCAAATTACTGTACTGTATATGGCATCACGAAAATTGTGACCAAGTCCCAGGTTGCTGATCTGACTTTCTGCCTCATTTACACACAATTGTAGGGTCTCAATTGTTTATCTTACCATTGGCAACACAATATACATATATTGTTTCTCACTCTTGATATTGTTTTTGTTTTACTTTATGATGAAAAAAATTATATATAATATATATACTGTATATATATATATATATATATATATATATATATATATATATATATATATATATATATATATATATATATATTCTACACAACTCTTGTATAGCAAGTAAATAAAAAAAATGGCCGACCTGACCCAGGTGTTCCCCAGAATGTTTGTGCAGTAAACAAACGAGGATTTAATTTTGGGGCAATTCTATTACAAGTAGTCCAAGGCATATCAATTCAAGTGGCCACTTTATATAAAAACTACAAGCTAATTCAAGTGATAACAAAATAAAATTTAACTCAATACATATAAAAATTCACGTAAGAGAAACACGGAGGGAGGCAGGAGACCGCATACTTACCTGGACCTCACCGTCTTGTTGAAGTCTCTAACTTACAAATTCCATCCCTAATCCCTTCCTGAAGACTCGCAGAAGCTTCTTTAGTCTTTTTGCCGTCAGTGGAATCCGTTTACTTTCTCAATTATCATTATATAAAGGCTGGGAGGCAGCCGGCCACCCGTACTTTTAGGCTTTCTCCACCACTGATCTTTGTGAACCAGTTTCCAGCTACTTTCTGGGGCACTTTTGGTTTAATTAATATTGACAATAATATATAATATATATTATAATATATTCCGATGCGATGTAATAATAATAATAATAATAATAATAATAATAATAATAATAATAATAATAATAATAATAATAATAATAATAAATAACTTTACCTTAGTATATGGTACACAAACATGAGTACTGGTTCAGAGTCTAATGAGTGTGTACAAGACGAACTGAATCATTCCATGAAGTAAGTAAGTAAGTAAGTTAAGTAAGTAAGTTAGTTAGTAAGTTAGTAAGTACGTGTGTGTGTGTTTCATTCATTATTCACCAGACTAGTGTATAATGTCGAAGACAATGCATCATGTCACAATGTACAACCATGTATAGTGTCCCTGTAGATTTATGCCTCTCACGATTTCCCCGAGCAATATATAATGAATAACTCGTCTATCCCGACAGAGAGACGGGTGGCAGGAACTACACGACTGAGGTGACGGAGCGGAAGCGAGACGGGCGTAGACGACCCCACAGTGAGGATCCTCACACCCCGCGCAGGTGTGTGTGTGTGTGTGTGTTTTAAGCCCCAGCGGCTGCCAAACACATTATATAAAAAATAACAAATTACCGTAATAATCCATCAACACCCGGACAACCAGACTAATAACACAGCTTCAGCGTGTCACTATAAAGCTGTAGTAATGAGAGATGTAACATGTTAATATTTACCATGACCCAGCTGACGGTCACTGACGTCACACCCCATCACTGGTCCCGGGCTGCCTGGGTCATCCTCACCATTATTCAAATATCGAGACATGAGTTTAACATCTACACAAACAACAGATCACGCAAGCTATTTCTAGAAACGTTTGTTGTTGGGCGTTGTCATCTCAGGTATTTTGTTTTATATTTAATTAGTTGACAAAGATGGGGAACATAATGGAGTCTGGGGGCGATTCTCTCTCTCTCTCTCTCTCTCTCTCATATCCCCCTCGGAGGTTACGCCTGGATGACAGACAGACAGACAGACAGACTGACTAAAATACAACCACTTTATTATTCGCATATAAATACACTTCTTTCTTTTCATAACCATTTCTATTAACACTGTCAGTCTGTCTGTCAGTCTGTCGTCATGTTCCTCCTCGTCGTCGTCTGTCTGTCTGTCTGTCTGTCTGTCTGTCTGCCTGTCGTCATGTTCCTCCTCGTCGTCGCCTGTCTGTCTGTCTGTCTGTCTGTCTGCCTGTCGTCATGTTCCTCCTCGTCATTATGAGATAAACTTTTCAGCACTAACATAAAAAACGTGAATGCCAGTGAGAATCTTTTACTCAGGTTTGTGTTATTGACAGGACGAGGATAAAACAAACACAACGATTCAGAACCTCCACGTGGACTGAGCCTCTGGACACTGCCACCTTCTACCTCTCCTACGAGCAGCTCCTACAGCGTATTGACGGCCACTACACCCACACCCTCTACCTTCTACCGCACAGTGTAAGTCGATGTAAATTTTCTGCCTCCTATCACACATTACACACAAACAAACAACATTACTTACTAATAAACAGTTACACTCACTTTATCACACACACACACACACACACACACACACACACACACACACACACACACACACACGAGAGGGAGATGAACCTGAGATGTTTCTTTATTATTTTTCCAGGAGGAGGCGAGGCAGGATGTACAGGTGACCATTAAAGAAAGTGAACCAATTAACTCCTTCAACCTCCTACAGCGACCTGACCATCGATACTCCGGTCATGGTAGGTGAGGGTGGTGGTCTAGGGTGAGGGTGGTGGTCTAGGGTGAGGGGTGGTGGTCTAGGGTGAGGTGGTGGTCTAGGTGAGGGGTGTGGTCTAGGGTGAGGGTGGTGGGGTGAGGGTGGTGGTCTAGGAGGTGGTGGTCTAGGGTGAGGTGGTGGTCTGAGTGAGGTGGTGGTCTAGAGTGAGGTGGTGGTCTAGAGTGAGAGTGGTGGTGAGGGAGAGAGAGAGAGAGAGAGAGGGGAGAGAGATTCAGCTACAATATATCACAACCCCACCCCCAGTACAAGAGGAGGTGTTAGGTATTGGCGAGGTACGTGTGAGGTACTGGCAAGGGATGAACCACTCCAGTGACAACAGTATTGACACCACCGTTGACACCAGCATCATCCCTCTCAGCAGAAGCAGTATTACCAACACCACCAACAACAGTAAGGACGGAGAAGGAAATGCCCTGTCTATTAGTTATGACGTGGGCAGGACAGTCGACGGGGGAGAGATACAGGTTAGTACAATGGTGGTGGTGGTGGTAGTAATAGTGGTAGTGATGGTAGTAGTGGTGGTGGTGGTAGTAGTAGTAGTAGTGATGATGATACATGATAAATATGGTATTGTTATATTGATGGTAAATGATGGTGGTAGTGGTAGTGATGCTGGTTTATAATGGTGGTAATGAGGATACGACCACCAGCATCCTCCACCATATACTTTGACAGATGACCCTGATCTGTGACCTCCCTGCCCTGTGGCCTCCCTGCCCAGTGTCCTCCCTGCCCTGTGACCTAACTGTTCTGTGACCTCCCTGTCTTGTCTTGTGACCTCCCTGCCCTCTGACCGCCATTCCTTGTGCACTCACCCCATCCACAACCCCTCAGCGCTGTGGCTGTGACCTCCTCCTCTCTCTCTGTCTCCTGCAGCTGCTGGGGAGGTTCTTCGTCCACTACTTCTGTCCCGAGGGGCTACCCAAGCTGCCCACACACACCGTCTTCGCCCTCGATGTGTCGGGATCCATGCAAGACTTCGGCAAACTGGACCAGCTGAAGATAGCCATGGAGGCCATCCTGAGGGGACTTCCTCCTGAGGACTCCTTCGAGGTGAGTAGGAGGAGGTGAAGGAGAGGGGCTGTGGGAAGGAGAGGGCTATGGGAAGGAGATGGAGCTGTGGGAAGGAGATGGGGCTGTGGGAAGGGAATGGGGCTGTGAGATGGCGGGGGCTGTGGGAAGGGAGGGGGCCACCCTTCACTCCTCTCCCCACCACCCCTCATTCTCCTCCTCACCACCCTTCACTCCTCTCCATACCTCCCCATACCTCCCCTCACTCATCTCCCAACCACCCCCACTCCTCTCCCTACCACCCCTTACTCCTATCCCCACCACCCCTCACTCCTCTCCACACCACTCCTCACTCCTCTCCCCACCACCCTTCACTCCTCTCCATTACCCCTCCCCCCCTCCCCTCCCTCCCCTCACTCATCTCCCCACCACCCCTCCTCATCTCCCAACCACCCCTCACTCCTTTCCCCACCACCCCTCACCCTATCCCCACCACCCCTCCTCCTCTCCCCACCACCCCCACCCTCTCCCCACCACCCCTCCTCCTCTCCCTCACCAACCACCCTCACCTCTCCCAACCACCCCTCACCCTCTCCATACCACCCTCTCCTCTCCCCACCACCTCCTCCTATCCCACCCCCCTCCTCCTCTCCATACCTCCCTCCTCCCTCTCCTTCCCCTCACTCTCCATACCCTCCCCCTCCCTCCCTACAACCACCCCTCACTCCTCTCCCAACCACCCCTCCCTCTCCCCACACCCCTCCTCCTCTCCATACCACCCCTCACTCCTATCCCAACCACCCCTCCCTCTCCCAACCACCCCTCCTCCTCTCCATACCTCCCCTCTCCTCTCCATACCTCCCTCCTCCTCTCCATACCTCCCCTCCTCCTCTCCCAACCACCCCTCACTCCTATCCAAACCACCCCCTCCCTCTCCCAACCACCCCTCACTCCTCTCCATACCTCCCCTCCTCTCCTCCATACCTCCCCCACTCATCTCCCAACCGCCCTCTCCTCTCCCTTACCACCCCTCACTCATCTCCCAACCACCCCTCACTCCTCTCCAACCACCCCTCACTCCTCCAACCTCCCCTCCTCCCTATCCCCACCACTCCTCCTCCTCTCCCCACCACTCCTCCTCCTCTCCCCACCCCCTCCTCTCCCCTCCCTACCCTTCACTCTCCATACCTCCCCTCACTCTTCTCCTACCACCCCCACTCATCTCCCTCCTCTCCCCACCACCCCTCACTCCTCTCCCAACCACCCCTCACTCCTCTCCCCACCACCCCTCACTCCCTTCCATACCTCCCCTCTACCACCCACACCCAAATCCCTTGACACCCTCCAAGTAACCAACGCCCTTCTTTCCGGCCGTAATGACCCAGGCGTTGACGACCAGAAAATCAAACGATAAAGAAGCGCCCCTCCACACCCTGCTCCTAGCGCAGAAGTCTCTCCATCACACCTTTAATGCGTTGTATGGTCCCTCCCTCGCTCCCCCCTGTATAGGCATGAGTGTTCTGCTACAGGTGCTACAGGTGTCGCTGTCCTGCTACAGGTGCTCTGCTACAGGTGTCCCGCTACAGGTTATCGGTGTTCTGCTTCAAGTGCTCTGCTACAGGTGTCCTGCTACTGGTGTCCTCCTACAGTTATCGCACTACAGGTTTTGGTGTTCTTGTACAGTACTGGTTTTAGTGTTCTAATGGAGGCGTTCTACTACAGGTGTTGGTGTTTTCGACGCGGGTGACCTCGCTGGGGGTGTACCGTGCTCGACCCCGGGAGGTGGCGCGAGGAGTGTCCAGGATCCACCGCCTCCAGGCACTAGGAGGCACCAACATCAATGAGGCCCTCCTTCAGGCAGTTCTTGGTGCCAACACCCACAACACCACCCACACCGCAGCTAAACAGGTATACTGGTAAAATAGGGTAAGTGAAAATATAAACTGGACAACCACAGCTGATGACAGATTTCTGTGAAAAGAAAATTAATACTTACAGCTTCCAAGTACAGCAGGAAGTCTAGGACATTTAACAGTTCTGTACCTATAAAATTTCAAGCCCATGGCAATTTATAATTGCGAACATATTCTCAAAATTCTGTTCCGGTTTTAAAAGCTGCGAGAAGGTCACATAAAACATTTTGCAGTTTCCCCACTTGAACAGAGAGGTGTAATTTATATTTATTGTTGTACACTTGCACTGTCCCCCTTGCACCTTTCTACAATTTCATCAATTCATAACATACTTTTTGTGCTTGAGGGAGAGTGAACCAGACTGCTTTCCGTCCATCTGGGTTTCTCGTCCAGCCCCAGTCTGAAGGACACTGAACTGCTGGCTGCTTTTCAAGGATGTTGCCCAAAATAATTATGTCCTCCATGGAAACATGCACGTTTTGTGTATTGTTCTAATCATATCTAATGCATCTTGGGACGGTGGAACGTGTTTCATTCTCTCCCAGTTTAGCTTGTTACGAGACACAAAACCATCACTATCTCTCAGCTGCCTCTTCAAACTATCAAAGTTTGCCCTTCTGAAATCTGGGACTTTAGTGGAATTTTCCTTGCGGCTGCCCTGAAATTCTAATTGGAATCTTATTCCTTTGTGACTGCTGTTAGCAAGTTCGTTCCCTACCTCGACATTACTAATGAGGTTTTCTCTGTTTGACAGAACTAAATCGAGTATATTATTACCCCGGGTGGGTTAGGTTATATGTTGTCTTAGGAAAGAGTCCTGGATTGTTTCAAGAAAATCCTCTGACTCTGAGTTACCCGTAAGGTCGATCCAATCTATTTGGCTAAAGTTAAAGTCACCTACTATACAAACTTTGCTCTGTATGGAAGCCCTGCGCATTTCATCCCAAATAAGTCGCTCATTAACTCTATCAAGATTAGGAGGTCTATATATTACTCCTGTGATTAACTTTTCCCTACCATCGATTAGTTCTATCCAAATTGTTTCTGTATTCCGCTCAATCTTTATTTCCTTATTTATTTCACACTTCAGATTATCCCTGACATAGATTGCTACTTCGCCTCCTTTCCTAATCTGCCTATCGGTATGGAATAATTTGTAACATGCAATTTGGTATTAGACAGGTAACTCACGTGAGTCTAAGTTTATCCATGTTTCGGTGAATGCTATTATATCGATTTTTTCGGTACATACCAAAGCCCTGATTTTATCCATTTTGTTTCTCATACTTCTACTGTTTGCATAATAGACATTTAAGTTAGTCGTGTTCTGAATCCTCTCTTTGAAGCGTTTAGGTTTTAACTCCCTGCTAATTTAGTTTTGTCATCATTCCTAGCACTATTTCCCTGTAACCTTTCACTTTGTTTACCCCCTCTCACTGCAGTCTCCTCCACCCCCATGCTCTTATGTTTCCCGAGCAGTTTAAAGACTTCAACATCTTTTGAACTGCCCTCTCGAGAGAGCCAGCCAAGGTTGTCACCCCAGCCCTAGACAGATGTATCCCATCCCTAGCATAAAGGTCCCTTCTGTTTAGTTTAGGTTAGATGCAAATTAGGTTAGAGGTAGGGATGGTTTGGTTAGGTTAGAAATAGTTTACATGGTCATAGATTAATTAGGTTAAATATAGGTTAGGCTAGGTTAGGTTAGGGTAAGGGATGCAGTAGGTTAGGTTAGGTTAGGTTACAAAAGGGAAAGTTAGGGGAAGGATAGATCGGGATAGGTTAAGCAAGTTAGGTTATGGAAGAGGAAAGTTAGAGGAGTTGATGACAAGTTAAGGTAGGTCAGGGTAGGTAGCAGGTCTAGTGGTTGTGGGTCCCGTGTAGACTACCTCAAGTTCACGAAGGACCTCCCAGGAGGCCAAAAGGTGCCTCTTCAGCTAAAGAAGTAGGCCTACCACTCATTTTCCTAAAAATGGGACGGAAAGACCTTACCAATATAACGAATGGGTTTCCGAGAGACATCGGCCCTAGTTAAAATTAAAGAATGGATCGCTGAAGTTACCCAACGGAATCTCAGAAGTTGATTGGAACCCTCTCAGCCAACCAGTGATCACCCTCCTGCCGCAGGGACACTCACACCGGATGGTCTTCGTCGAGGGTTCCTGATCAGGTTGGCCCAATGCCAGGTCGTTCTGGCACCTGTGATAAAAAAAGTTTCCCAAAGACTGATTGAGTCAGTTGATAAGTGTCGCGAAGTTAGCGGAGAAGTCGCTATATGTAGTGAATTCTGGGATCCCTTCAACAATTGTCGGGGATAATTTTAGTGAATGTTACGAGTGATTTTCGGAATGATAAAACTAAATCTCATCGATTCTAAGGTAGATTTTACCGAGTCTAGGTTGACATTTTGAGTTTTGGCAATTTTTGGTGACTTTTAGATAGTAAGAGTTGGCAACATTGTCTTTAATTCCTCAGGGTGTACGACCGAAATCTCGTTGAAATGCACTGACTATTGTATTGTTCTTCCTTAATATCTTTTTCGCTCGACACACCAGAAAACTGTAAAAAAAGGACAACTGAGAAAACAACGACAACAAACCATCACTGACTAAATCATCTGGTGTTACAACTTACAAAAGTTACCGAGTTCGTTCACCAGCCAGAATTTACGGCTAACTTGGGGTAACTAAGGGTAAACACACAAACACACGCGAACACACACACACACACACACACACACACACACACACACACACACACACACACACACACACACACACACACACACAGACACTGCTCCATCACACACTGCTACCCACACACTGGTCCACACACACTGCTCCATCATCAATGCTTCTCTCAGTCAAGCCAGATGCCCAGCTAATTGGAAGACTTCTTATGTATCACCAGTGCCCAAGTCAACCAGCCCACAATCCTTAAATCAGCTACGACCCATTGCAATCACCGCAATACCCAGCTTAATCTGTGCTTATGCTGATATTGCAGGAGCCGTAGATTCTCAGCAATTTGGTAATATGAAAACTTCCTCCACCACTCACTGTCTTGTCAGCTTTCTCGACTACATATACCGCCATCTGGAGAAACGAAAAACGTCTGTAGCTGTCATCTTCATTGACTTTACTAAAGCATTCGACCTAGTCGACCACAATTAAATCATCAACAAGGCTATCGACCTCGGGTTTCGAAGAAGTCTTATACTATGGCTTACAGACTTCCTCAGTGACCGACGCCAAGCTGTACGCTTCCGAGGGGCTGTCTCCACCTTTCAGTCACTCACCTGTGGCGTCCCCCAAGGCACCAAGATAGGACCACTATGCTTCCTTATGCTTATCAATGATGCCCCAAGAGAATCCCTGCTCGCTGGAAATATATCGACGACTCCACCATTGGGATCAGCGTCAACAATTCTGCTCCCGACTATACCGCCCTTCAGGATTTATTGAACAGTCTCCAAAATTGGGCCACCAACAACCACGTCACCATCAACCATACCAAGACCATGGTTATGCACATCAACCTCTCCTCCGACGTTGTCCCACCCCCTTCCATTACTTTAGGTCCCAACACACTCCAGGTTGTAGATTCCACTAAGCTCTGCGGCATCACCATAGACAACAAACTAAATTGGAAACCACACGTCAGTGAAGTTGTCAAATCCTCCAGTTTCCGTCTCCACCTCCTCCGCCGACTCAAGTCCATCGGAGTTCCTGCCCCCGAGCTCCTCAGTGTTTACTCAACATTCATACTTCCCAAGCTCACCTATGCCTCCCCTACCTGGTCTTCCTCCCTAAATGCCACACAACATAAACACCTAGAAAAAGTGCAAAAGAGGGCATGCAAGATTATTCTCTCCCCTTCCTACTCCACATATCAAGAAGCGCTCAACACACTGACCCTCTCGGCTCTCACTGACCATCACCACGACCTCATCTGCAAATTTGGTGAGAAGCTTCTGCACCAACCTCGACACCGGCTCCTACTACCACCTGAGATCCCTCGCCCGAGAACTGCTGTTCGACACCACAACCGCATCCAGCCCATACGAGTACGAACTGATCGCTATAAGAACAGCCCAGTCCCAACCATTGTAAAAATTATCAATAACTTGTAATAAACCAGTGTATTCACTCCCAGTAAATCTTACTTTTTGCTCTGTCACTATGTTGAAATGCCCTGTAGTTTGAGCTTCTCCCCACCTAGTTATCATATATCATATTTGTATCACTTATGTTACTTGTATATTATTTGTAAATCAAGAGACCCACTCCCCAATTATGTAACCGTATATTTTCAGCCTTCCGGATGCTATGCTCTTTCAATAAACCGTTAATTATTATTATTATTATTATTATTATTATTATTATTATTATTATTATTATTATTATTATTTACACACACACACACACTTAGAATTTATTTGTAATTTTAAAAGTAAAAAAATATACACTCCCTCCATCACAACACACTCCCTCCATCACAACACACTCCCTCCATCACAACACACTCCCTCCATCACAACACACTCCCTCCATCACAACACACTCCCTCCATCACAACACACTCCCTCCATCACAACACACCACAACACTCCCTCCATCACAACACACTCCCTCCATCACAACACACTCCATCCATCACAACACACCACAACACTCTCTCCATCACCCACGAGTCTTATCTTCTTTTTTACATTATAACCAAAATAACAACACTTCACATCTCCTATTACCCTAATGAGGTTCAGTTTACCTTTGTTACCTCTCATTAAGGTTGACCGAGAGCCCAGCCACCACACGAACACTAGGATGGGTGTAATCTCCCGATCCAATTAGATTAAAGAAACGTAACAGTTTCATCTGTTTGTTTTAAGATAATTTAATTGAGCCAGTTCGATGTGTACCTGTCCCTATTATTTTGCCTTATTAACGTCCAAGAACTAAGTTTTTACTTCGGTATACAGTCTCTGTACGCCCGAAAATAAAATATGAAGTGTGTGTGTCTCTTTTTCTTCCTAACAACAAACCATTGTGAAGAGGACGTTTCGAAAGGTAAGACTAACGAGAAGAGGCTTAGCTGCATGTACAGACCGTGTGGTTATTTTTATACGACGACGAAGTTATTATTATAATGGAAAAAATAAGCGTAATATTATTTCAGTGACTTATGATACCATGTTTAATGTACCAACAACAACAACTATATGACAGCGAAATAATAATAATAATGATAAACATGATCATGATAATCATTATGATGATGATGATGATGATGATCATCATCATGATAGAGAGAGAGAGAGAGATCTTGTGTGACCCAGATTCCTATATCTGAATTATACTCACTTGGTGTGACCCCTCCCCTAGTATGGCTTTCGCCTGGTGTAGTCCTCACTCGGTGTGCACCTCATCTGGCGTGCACCTCACCTGGTGTGTACCTCACCTGGTGTAGTCCTCGTCCGGTGTGCACCTCATCTGGCGTGCACTTCACCTAGTGCGCAACTCACCTGGTGTGTACCTCACCTGGTGTGTACTTCACCTGGTGTGCAACTCACCTGGTGTGGCCCTCACCTAGTGTGCAACTCACCTGGTGAGCACCTCACCTGTTGTGCAAGTCATCTGGTGTGCACCTCACCTGGTGTGCACCTCACCTGGTGTGGCCCTCACCTAGTGTGCACCTCACCTGGTGTGCACCTCACCTGGTGTGCACCTCACCTGGTGTGCACCTCACCTGGCCTCCATCTTGCAGGTGGTGTTCTTGACGGACGGGAAGCCTAACATGGGAGAGACCAAGACAGAGAGCTTGAGGAGGAACGTGCGGGAGGCCAACATACACCAGCTGCCTATCTTCTCCCTCGCGTTCGGCCAAGACGCTGACCTCAGGTGCGTGTAGGAGAGGTCATGAGAGGTTAGCCTGCACGCTGCTACACCTGTTGCAACCCTTACACCCACACCTATTACAACCCCTACACCTACTCCTGCTACAGCCCCTACACCTGTTACAACCCCTATATGCACACCCGCTACATCTACCTGCACCCACACCTGCTACAACCCCTACACCTACACCTATTTTAACAATTGGCCTCCAGCCTCCCCCAATAGCTACACTTTCGCCGCCATTTTATGACCTTAAAGTTAAATATTCTAATACAAACGTAGCTACCCTAGCTGTGTTGAGTTAGTTGAGCCGAAGATCTATGCGGCATTCAGTGACTGTTGCCTCATAGTCAATATCTGCGACCGTTGTCGGCTTTGGGGCCGAAGATCTCGTTCCCCTGAGACAGAGCAATGCAGACTTATGCAGAGAGAACATCTCAACCAGGCTGTAATGCAACTTCTGGGTTGCTGCTTCCGTTCGGATAACGCCTCCGCGAATCTGGCATAGAAACATCGTGCACTTGGTCCAATCCCACCAGAAGTTGTGAACACCAGAGGAGTGAAGCTTCCCTGATGAACATTCAGAACTCTCTCCCCATATGCCCTGTTCTTGTCATTCTCGGTCCTCCTGTGTGCAGCATGGAGAGCTAGGTTACGGTGACATGCGGCCATGGGATCGAAAATCCTTATGCCAAAGAAGGCTCGCTGTCCCTGCGTCCAGAATCCTCGAGCGCTTACGTCCACACGGGCTTCATTGGACGTGTTTATAGTCCTGTGGTGGAAATTCTCACCGTCCAATGGAAGGAGGGTCGGTTCTACCCTGACATCATGGCAGATTTCCTTCAACATAATTATTTGCTGTGAGATCCCTTACTTCGTCATGTCTCATTCATATAAAGCCGCCTTTCTTGCACACCATGGTGTGGTCGATACCGTAGGATGAGCCACACACGCATTGGGAGGGCAAATCTTCTACTGGCCTACCATACCTTAGAGCAATGGCATCTGTGAATTTTTGTTTATTTAGGCTGAAGCCTTTTGCCCTTATCGGTAACGTTGTTAGCCAGTTCGAGGCGCCCACTTCCTGTGCAATAGCTACTTTTTTCAAGTTCTCTGGCACTTGCAGTATCAGTTGCTGCAGTTTATTACTTTAGGTGTGCTGTCGATCTGTCGCAATGGACCGTCGAATCTTGTTTAATTCGCTGGTATCCACCTCACCTGCTGCATTCTGAGCTATTATGTGCTCAATGAGGGCTGCCGTGAGATAGACGGAGTTCTGATGTTCGGTGGCGGCAAGCTCCACTGGATTATTCATTCTCATTCCTTCCAGTCTCGGTGGTAGTGCAAGGATTGACCTTTCTGCTGGGGTTAAGTGAAGGTGGTTCACTAATTTTGGAATGAAATTGATGCTGATGGCTTCTTCCAGAGGGTAGAGGAGGAATCCGATATCAGGGATAGTGCGCATCAGGTAATTCCAGCGATGCTTGACTCCATGGGTGAATGCCGTAAACGCCGCTGTAGCTCTGTTTTAACAATATCATGCAGTTTGGATTTCCTCCACCCACTCATTTACCTTTCCCTTTATGTACTCGGTCTTTATGTCCTTCGTGCCGATTACCGCATCTAGGTGTCTTTGGCCCTCCTTTGTTATTTTGACCTCACTTCCGCCGAACACCTACATACCCGTTCATAGTGTTCTGGCTCCACAATGAGGAAGAACTTGCTGGCATTTGGATGATACCCTATTTGTGGACCACTTGATGTTATCAGGTCCCACCACTTTTTGATGTCCTCCACTTTTCCTGCTCCTGTTAGGTCATCAGCGTAAGCCACTTGCTTGACCTTGGTTGTTTCAAATTTTATTGTGTTGGAGCACGGATGAGCCTAGTGCATACATTGCCATGGCGACAGGGTCCCCCTACGTTGTTCCCCCAGTTGACTGTATGATGGTGTCTCCTCTTAGAGCCCTGAAGCTTGTTATATAGAGGTCTGATGGGTTCCTATAGGTGTTTTCAACATACATGTAAAGCTTGGACACTTGATCTTGATGTTGTGCAGTGTAGCTTTGCGGTTGATGATGTTGAATGCGTTGGAAGCGTAAACCAGAAGGACTGCCTCACAATCACGCTGCTGAAATATCTTTCTCATGGCGTGAATGGCATCCCCCCCCAGCCTGCTGCAACCCCTACACCCACACCTGCTACAACCCTTACACCCACACCTGTTACACCTACACCCGCACCTGCTACACCTACACCCACACCTGCTGCACCTACACCCACACCTGCTACACCACCTACACCCACACCTGCTACACCTACACCCACATCTGCTACACCTCCTACACCCACACCTGCTACACCTACACCCACACCTGCTACACCTACACCCACACCTGCTACACCTCCTACACCCACACCTGCTACACCTCCTACACCCACACCTATTACATCTTTAGCGTCTCCTCCCCCAGGTTACTGCGGCAGGTGAGTGCAGACAACAAAGGTTTCACGAGGACGATAGACGACAAGGAGCGCCCCGCCGACCAGTTGCAGGACTTCTACAAGCAGATCTCCTCGCCGCTCATGACGGACGTGGACATAGTCTATCCCGAGGACGAGGTCGATCCCAACTCCGTGGTCAGGCAGGACATCACCTCCACCTACTACTCCGGGGACGAGGTAAGTTGTCGAGGAGGAGGGGGAAGAGGAGAAGGGAAAAGGTAGGAGGAAGAGGATGAGAAGGAGGAGGAGGAAGAGGAGGAAGGGAGGATAAGAAACAAGAAGGAAAGGGGTTTGGAGGAGGAGAGGGGAAAAGGTAAGAGGAAGAGGATGAGAAGAAGGAGGAGGAGGAGGAGGAAGGGGAGGATAAGAAACAAGAAAGAAAGGGGTAGGAGGAGGAGGAGGAAAAGGAGAAGAAGGAGGAGGAAGAGGAGGACGGGGAGGTATAAGAAACAAGAAGAGGAAGGCATATGGGGAGGAAGAGGAAAAGGGGATAAATAGAACAAAATGAAGAAGGAAGAGGAGAAAAAGAACGGAGAAGAAAGGAAATAGTTGGAAGAGAAAAACAAAATTATATATACAAATGAGGAGGAAGAGTTAAAGGAGAAAGAAAGAAAACAAAACCAACAGTCACGACACATTATACCTGGATGGTATTCTAACCCTTTGCTCTGATAATTCGTCAAGCTGTTCTCTGTGCGTGTAGCCTCAAACTCGTTGTGACCGCGGAGAGTTGACACAAGGAATTGCACTGAGATTCATAACTAGATACGTTCACACAATACCAGGTAGGGAAGAAATTCCAGACTACCTTAATTACATACGTAGGTGAAAAAGACAATAAACCATGTTCATAAACCTAGCCACAGGTGTACAGTTAAGCTCTGGGTCAGGAATCAGAACCTGTCGGAGTCTGTATCGGGGCGAAACAAGGCTGTGTAATTGCACCAATACTTTTTAACATCTTCATTGTATGTATAACAACACTACTTCACCAGGAAATTGAAGCTAATAATGGGGTAAAAGTAGACTTTAGGCTGGACGACAAATTGTTTAACCTGAAAAGACTTGAAGCTGCCGCAAGAGTAACACCAGAACTTATCCTTGAGTTACAATATGCTGATGACTGTGCCCTTGTGGCCCACACACCAGAGGCTCTGCAAACTACCCTCTCTGTAGTTGTAAATGCCTATAGAAGAATGGAAGTTTCTGTCAACACTCAAAAGACTAAAATTATGTGCGAGCGGGATGCTGGCGCTCCACCTGGGTCACCAGTTTTCGGTATTGGTGAGAATGATTTGGGTCATCGTGCCAATCTATAAATATTTAGGAAGCTTCCTTTCTTATAACTCTAACATCGTTGAGGAAATTCAACAGATTAAAGTAAACTTTGGCCTCCTTTGGTAGGCCGAGAAAACTGAGTCTTCCAAAACAGTAAAATAATTACGCAAACAAAGATAACTGTGAACCACTGTATCAGGCAGTCTGTATATCAACAACTTTATATGGATGTGAAGCATAGGCGACTTATAGCCGTCACATGAAGTATGCCAGATTAAATGTCTTCACCGCATTCTTGGGATCACCTGGTGTGACCGTGTGCCACACACACACAGATTCTTAAGAGAACAGGATGTAGCAGAATAGAGACAACTGTTATCCAACACCAACTTCGCTGGCTCGGAAACGTCATAGGAATGCCCGAAGAGTGCTCGCCACGAAAGTTCTAAAGCCAACTGCATGAGGGTCGACGTTTTGCTGGTGGCCCAAAGAAACTCTACAAGGACCAGATGAAGAAAGCCAAGAAGAAATACAACATGAATCCATCTAACTTGTAAAACCTTTCCGTTGATCGCCCCCTGTGGAGGACACGCTGTCATGAAGGAGTACAACACTTTAACAACTCATGAACACGTCCATGTTGTGAACAACGTCAAAGGAGGTTTGAGAGTGTGGCTGTGCTTCCGCCCCTAAACCCAGACTATACAGTACATGACCTGCATATAATAAGTGCGTGTCAAGGATTGGACTCGACAGTCGTCGTAGGACTCACCAATAAACCAGAAGAGGAAGTCATCATCGGACACGATGGACTACCATAAGCATAAGTAATTAAGTAAGGGTAGATATTGAGGCAAGGAAAGCTTAACAGAGTAACAGCCTGCACCTGTATTTATCATCATTGTTATTAGTCACTGTTATCATTGTTGCTGTTGTTATTGTTATTATTTATTGTAATTTTCATTATTATTATTATTATAACAATATATAATGGCCAAAATAAGTATTGTACCTCAGTTTCAAGACACGAGAGCTCGGGGCCTGGATCAGTTTTTCTCTCACCTGTTCAAGCGAAACTACTACAGGACACAGCAGCAGAGTCTCACCGCAATATAACCGCTATCTTGACGCTGTAGCATAAATGAGACAACCAAGAGCGTTTTCTCGTCTCCATTTCCGATAACAATTCAACCTTTCACAGCCTGTACTCTTCTCCTGCACCATATGGGAATTTAACCTTTTGTGTCGCAGGTGGTGGTAGCGGGGCAGTTGGCGGAGGGAGCGACGGAGGTTCATCCCATTGTGGCGGGGCAGGGCAAGAGCGGCCCCTTACAGTTCCGGGTGTCGAGGATCGGCACCCCCGAGCCCCCCACCCTTACCGCTGACCCGCAGAGGAACAACTACGTGGAGAGACTCTGGGCTTATCTCACTGTTCAGGTGCGTTACGTACACACACACACACACAACACACAACACACACAACACACAACACACACACACACACTCCATCTCTATAAATGAGTTCATCCTTCTCTCTCCTTTACCCCTTCCTGTTATCTCATCTTTTCTACCACCACCACCTAATCACCTCCCTCCCTCCCTCCCTCACAGGACCTGTTAGCTGTGCAGGAGATCATCATGGACAGGAACCTTCGAGGAGAGATGCGGGCCAGAGCCAAGGAGATAGCCATCAGGGTAGGTGTGTGTGTGTGTGTGTGTGTGTGTGTGTGTGTGTGTGTGTGTGTGTGTGTGTGCTCGACCCTGATGAGAGAGAGAGAGAGAGACGGAGAGAGAGACAAAGAAGAGGTAAATACTCGATCACTCCCATCAAGTTCCTCCTCCAACAGCCACTTAAGACTCGAGCTTGGAGGAATGACGGTGGAGGTAACACGTCAGCACAAGGTGACCCCCCCCCGCAACGTCATCTTTAACCCCTTGAGTACGATGACTTATCCAACAGCTGTATAATGTTATATCTAAGCGATTTCGTCGTCGTATTCATTTGGTTGTTATCGTATTCAAGGGGTTAAGTCATCGTACTCAAGGGGTTAAGTCATCGTACTCAAGGGGTTAAGTCATCGTACTCAAGGGGTTAAGTCATCGTACAAGGGGTTAAGTCATCGTACTCAAGGGGTTAAGTCATCGTACTCAAGGGGTTAAGTCATCGTACTCAAGGGGTTAAGTCAAGGTGGTTAAGTCATCGTACTCAAGGAGTCAAGTCATCGTACTCAAGGAGTCAAGTCATCGTACTCAAGGAGTCAAGTCATCGTGTTCAAGGAGTCAAGTCATCGTGTTCAAAGGGATTAAGCCATCATGTTCATGGGGTTAAGCAATCGTACTCGATGGTTAAGTCATCGTACTCAAGGGTTAAGTCATCGTTCTCAAGAGGTTAATACCATTATGTCAGCAAAAGTGAATGTCTCTTAATCCCACTAGCATATGAAATAAACGTAAGACAAAGTAGCAATAGTTTTAAGTTAAGTTAGGTTAGGTTAGGATTTTAAGTGACGTCAGATAAAAACATAAGAGAAAAAAATCATCAATGAAACTTCACCATAAGTCATCCGGGAAGCTGACGGCTTTACCTGACTTACTGACTCTGATTACACAACTCTCTCTGGTGTGGCCTGTGTTACGTGGTCTGTGTTACATGGCTGTATGTTACGTGCCCTGTGTGTTACGTGGCTTGTGTGTTACGTGGCCTGTGTGTTACGTGGCCTGTGTGTTACGTGGCCTGTGTGTTACGTGGCCTGTGTGTTACGTGGCCTGTGTGTTACGTGGCCTGTGTGTTACGTGGCCTGTGTGTTACGTGCCCTGTGTGTTACGTGGCTTGTGTGTTACGTGGTCTCTGCTACGTGGCTGTGTTACGTGTCCTGTATGTTGCATGGTATCTGTTAATGGCCTATGTTACGTGGGTGTGTGTGTTACGTGGCTATGTGTTACATGGCTGTGTGTTACGTGGCTGTGTGTTACGTGTCCTGTATTTTACGTGGTCTCTGTTACGTGGCTACGCGTTACGTGGAGTGCCACTTGAGTGAGTGTGCACTATAAACACAATATTGTTGTTATACACTCACCAGAGTTGTATAATGTTTAATACCCTCAATTGAATGGACAGAACAAAACGTGTGTATAAACAAGGCTCTCTCTCTCTCTCTCTCTCTCTCTCTCTCTCTCTCCGCTTCGACTCACCACCTACTCATTTCTCTCTTACACCCACTGCGCTCCTCTCACATCCCACCCTTCCCTGGTCTCTTATTCTACTCTCTCTCCTCTCACCCTCTCTCACACCATAACCACCTCTTTCCCACATTTTCCTTCACTCCCTTCTTTCTCAAATCCCCACCTTCCTTTCCCTCTCACCTCCCATTCTTCTTTCCTTCTCATATCCAATTCTTCTTTCCCTCTCACCTCCAATTCTTCTTTCCCTCTCAACTCCCCTCCTCCGTTCCCTCTCACCTTCCATCCCCTTTCCCTCTCGCCTCCATCTCATCTCCCACTTCCCCGCCGCAGTTCAAGTTCGTGACGAAGTTGACCACTCTGAACGTGGTGAACGCGGAGGACCTCCCTGAAGGGGCGCCCCCCGGCCTCAAGTCCGCGGCACGACACCAGAAGTCCAACACGGAGGAGGTGCTGGCCTCACAGATACACGAGGGCCTCACCCTCCTCAGCCCCTCCGAGTTTGCCAAGACCCTCCCAGCCCCCCACAGCGCCAAGATAAAGGCTCTAGACAGCAACAACAACTTATACGGTAGGTTCCTTGTACCCAGTAGATTCAAGGGAGCTGCTCAAGTATATTAAAGTTCCTCCAGTAAATTACCCAGGGACCTCCCCTAGTGAGTTACCCAAGGACCTCCTCTAGTGAGTTACCCAAGGACCTCCTCTAGTGTTACCCAAGGACCTCCTCTAGTGAGTTATCCAAGGACCTCTAGTGAGTTACCCAATAAGTTCTAAATCAAGAAGTATATATTGTAAGGCATGTTAAACTGAGTCCCTGTCTGGGAATTAATGATTACAAGAATTAAATGCCAGTGTTTATATTTCAAGGTTCCTTTACAAATAAAATAATACCTACAGTATTTCCACGCTACCCTGGCCCGTAAGCCACGCCCCTAGTCTATAGCTACAAATCGCTGATTGGTTCCCCTGAGCGTTGTATCTCCCCACCCCTCCTCCCCCGAAGTACACAGGCATAAGCGCGTATTTGCATCGACCTTTTATAATAAATAATACAAATTTTACTAATATCCTCTCTGAAGTGCTAATACTTTGAAATCATTTGCATTTGATAGTTCAGATATTTAACATTATTTTAGATAACAGGTCTGCTTACCAACTGTGAACAAATTTAGTTGGAATTTTCTAAGAGCCAATCAGCTATTAGTATAGAAGAGGGGCGTGGCTTACGGACCAGGGAAGTGTGGAAAGGGTATAAATAAATACAATTAATGACCATTGATAAACAAAATAATACCAAAAATGTACAAAACAGTTCTTAGGTTTAATCCATAATTAAAGGCCAACAAAAATTCCTTCTATAATATAACTCGACCCATAGAGATACACATACACTAGTAGCTGATATATTCAACAACATAAAACCAGTAAATAAACAGAAGACTAAAATAGGGTGAGTGACGTGTGGGTCCTCCACCAACAGGTGATAGCGACCCACACTTCGTGGTTCAGGTCCCCGGGATGGACCTCCCCTTATGCTTCGACATCCACGGTACACCTGGCGACGTCCTCAGCCTCGTCCGAGACCCTCAGTCAGGTCAGTTAACGAAGACTCTTTTTATATGTCGTGTTTTTATTTTTTCTTATCTTTTAGTGATAATTTATAACAAGAATTAGGTATAAACTGCTGTCATATGTGAGCCATGAGTGTATACCAAATAATACCAAGTCTCGCAGGTAATGTTGGCTGCAAAAGTACACTGATTAAATAATTAGTATGGTAGTATAGTCATAGGGTAGCAGTATACTTACCCCTAAAGATATAGTGGTGAACTGAGAGGAAAAATAGTTACCAGGTAGCACTGTACTCCCCCTACAGGTATAGTGGTGAACGGTGAGGTAGAAGAGGCAGTGATGAGAGAAGGAGCCACCTACTTCACCAAGATATTTATTTCACTCGGCTCCGTAAACTTCACCATCACACCTAAACGCATCAAGGTAGACTGCCTTGATGACGCCGGTCAACCCACGGTAAGTGAGGGGAGGAGCAGAGTGGTAGAGAGCCGGCAGGGTAGTGGAGCCACTATATATATATATATATATATATATATATATATATATATATATATATATATATATATATATATATATATATATATATATATATATATATAAAGTGTGTGTGTGTGATTGTAATAGAAAATATTGTATCTAGCCAATATGTTCATTTACTAATGAAAAAATATAGCATCCTTTGGAATGTGTTTTTAATCAAGCGGGTCAATAGCTGTCGGATTAATGTTTAACAGTAACTCTCACCAGTGGGGCGGATATTACGCGAGATGTTCACTTGTGGCAGAAAGTATGACTATTTTTATATGAGGTTTTTAAAATGTCCTGATACCAGAAATAACGGGAACCAGCTTATAAACCAAAACTTCCCTTCAGATTTCAGGATACCGTATGTACACTACAGTACCACCTGACCTGTACGTGAATTTTGAAGAATTATTTGGAAAGGATAAACAAAAAAACAAACAAATTGAGAATCAATTATTATGATAAATTTCGATAATACTACACATTGTATATTTCATTCATCATGCAGAATTAATTAATACTATACTGTAAGTTAGTTAAAATACGTACACACACTGGTAATATAAATAAAAAAACTTTATCATAACAAAATTGGAAGCTTTACACGTTAGCTATTTCAGCAGTGTGTGTATATATTGGTACTGTAGCTCTTCCATGAATTTCACTCATCAATTATGTGGTGCAACTGGGAAGTTTGCCTCTGATGTAAGGAGTGTCGTAAGTATAAAGAAGGAACTGGGAAATGCATTTTTTGTGTGGCAGATGTGACCTGTTCACACTTGACACAAGCGTTGTCTAGAAACAATCTGCTCTTATTCAAATCTGGACAACAAAAGGTGTCCTCGAAGGCCCACTTGAAAATGAAGAACATGAAGAGTGATATTGAGGCGAACGTTCTCACCAATGTATATCTCACGTCAGGTCAGGGAAGGTGACCAAGGTACAGTTGTCAGCAAAAGTCCTCCCACAACTTGCTACACAGGGCTGTGGGAGAACTTTTGCTGGCAACTGTACATGAGGTTAAGCACGGCCTCCGTCATTAGCTGAAAACATGATGCGTCAAGACAAAGTCAGCTCAATCTGCCTGTCTTGATGATTTAGCCTTCCAGCTGTGAAAATTGTTGATGGTGCAGCATTCGTCCATATAGTAGAACGAAGGAAGTCTTCTACCAGGATTATACCATTCAAACAACATGTTCTTCAAGTTTTTGTACCCAATGTACAGGAACAGTTATTGTAGAATATGTATCCAGGCTTGATAGTGTACGGGACACACATAATGTGGTCAGCTTGAAGTCGTATGACAGGCAGGTGAGAGGTGAAGGCAAGACTCTACTGTTACAGACGAAACACTCGTGCCCAAGAACTAGAAATCCTATTAGCAGGTTGACTCCAATAGGACACCTCCTCTTTGCAGCCATTTTGACACGAAGACGCAGATTATGCTCCATGTAAGTTATGAATATGAGAATTATGATTCATGCTACTGACACTGATGTAGTAGCTCTTCCAGTAGCAACAGCTAGTGTTCTTTCCCGTTGTGAATTTTGGGTGGTGTTTGGACATATACTCACAAAATTAAACGCCAACTAGGTGCTATAGCATCCAAGGTACTTGTGTTTCTTCGTACAGTATCTGGATGCGACGACATATCCTACTTTTGTGGAACAACTTTTAGAAACGACTTTCCTTAATTTGTTTATTGCTCCACAAGAAATAAATGACAATGACAGACCACCTAGAACGATATATAGTGTTGCTATATAATCGCACTTCATCACTGACTAAGGTGAATGAAGCCAGGAAACTGGTGTTTTCACAAGGGAACTGTCAGCTTGAGACCATACCCCCATCAAGAATGTACTTGTACAACATATCAAGAGATCAGTTTGTCCGGCTGGCCACGTTTGAGGTCAGGCACTTATTTTAAATCCAACAATTTCCTGGTCCCCCTTATGGTCAAATCTTCCTGAAGCATCCAAGGCGTGCCAGGGGTAATTGAAACACAATTGTCAAAATGCTTGTGGTGGCAGATGTGCTTTATTGAACGCAAACTTGAAATGCACTGTGTTCTTGTAGATGAATTTGCTCTAAAAAAATGCTTAGAGCCTTAGACACTGACATGCGGTATATCCTTATGTTATGAATTCCCTGTAATTATTGAGATGCATTATGTTAATTGTAACACATTTTTACTTCGTTACAGAATTCATGGAAATATTTTATAAGGAATTCTATTTTCCCTTGTTTTCGACCCGAGAAAATTATTTTTATCTAATTGAAAAATATTAGGTTAGGGTATCAGATTATATTTATATGATAAATAAAGATTCTAGAATGATTTCGATATTATCACACTGTTATTATTGTTATATATGCAATATCTATATGAAATAAGTTTTCATGTGTTAATAGTACACATCTACTGTCGAATTTAATGTACAAAATTAAGTCAAATACCCCGCTATAAGACTTTACATGCTTTCTGTCAGAAGTGAACATCTTATTATCTATCTGCCCCACTATTATAGATGTGTTCACTGGCAGGTGGAGAGTGTGTCCACGTCACTGTGGCCCTTCAAGAAAATGAACCCTAGGAGGCGTAGAGGCCGGCGAGGTAAGAAACCCCGAGGCAAGAAGAAGTATCACAGGCGTTCTGGGGTCAGGCAGCAGCGGGCCAATGATCAGACGCAACACCCGCGACGCAGCTCACGCCAGGCGCTATCTTCTACGCCACACAAGACCAGATTCCTGAAGGTCCTAGAGACTCGTTTAAGGAAGAGGAAACGCAACAAGAGACGAGGCCGTGTCAACTCAACCAGAACCAGATATCAGCAACACACAAGTAATGATCAAATCCATCCACATTCCCTCAGACGCTTCACAAATCCTCATTCTCAAACGTCGCTAAGAGACAGGCGACGCTCCCAAGAACCTACCGGCATCCAGGCGCACCCACGTCGCACCACGAACAACATACACCCTCAGGCTTTTAGAAATCAAATCCATACGCTTACGCCTAAGAAAACGTTACACCCACAGGATGCCAGGAGCCGAATTCAACGAGGCGATGGTGACAATAACCAATATCAAGCTGCAACTACATTGTTACGCACAGCCAGACACACCCCCTATTCACCCATTGACAACCCGTCGCCTCTCAGATATCCACGCAGGTATCATCCACAATCACATAACTTCATCCATCCTCAATCACATGCTTTCTCTCCCCCAAAAGCTCCAGAGAGAACGATGTCGCAACCGAAAGACACAAACAGGGCGTTCAACACCCAAGATAGTACCCAGACGATCCAGCCTTCCAGGGACCAATTTCAATCACCCTCCAGACTGATGAACTCGGCGACACAAGGAGAAAGTAACCGTCAGGCCAGAGGGGAACAACTGGTCCAGGAGTGCAAGAAGTCCTTAAGCTGGAAGAAGGCAGCGGGGAGAAGGTAAGTCACGTCAACACACTACGATGTTCTGCCCTTGTTGCCATAGATTGTTGAACAGTTTGACATAAAATATATATATATTCCATCGTTCAAAGATTTCTTCCGCTGTCTCAATCCAGCCTGAGGGATAAAGCAGTCTGGATATAGTAAATATTGCTAACACACACTTATTAATTATTTCTTAGCTTATCGTATGAAGGGTTTACGAGTCTTTAACGAAGTTCTATGAAGACTTCAACCAACTGTTCGTTTAAGTGTTGAGGTACTTAAAACGGAACCAATAAGTAAACCCACAATACCTTGATTCTTGTTGTACGTGAACTTGTTCTCTCTTTGGGTGTATATGCAGCTCTATCTGTGCTCCAGAGGCCAGGCCTCGGCCAACGTCTTGACACAAAACACGGGAACCAATCCCAGTTTGACACGTCACACCGAACTAACTTATTAGTTTAATGTATACTCGTTTAACTCAGTGTTACTTCATATTAGTTGTTAAAATATAATGATAATCGACAATAAGTTTACTTGATAAACCAATTTACCATACTAAAAGAAAAAGACGAGAATAGTCAACTCGTCTCTACCCTGTGATGGCCACTCATGCTCGTCAGACTAATTATTTATAATAGTTATAAACCCTCATCACTATTTATATTTTTGTACATGTGAATCATGGAATATACGAATTATCTTAAGAAATCCATGATCTACCCCTGACAACAAGCCCAATTCACGTTAAATATGTTAACTGCCATAGTGTCTCAGAATGTAGCAAATGGTGTACTATTTTTAGCCCTGCAACACACTACTTCATCAGACACTACCCCCATCAGCACCATCAGACACTACCCCCATCAGCACCATCAGACACTACCCCCATCAGCACCATCAGACACTACCCCCATCAGCACCATCAGACACTATCCCCATCAGCACCATCAGACACTATCCCCATCAGCACCATCAGACACTATCCCCATCAGCACCATCAGACACTATCCCCATCAGCACCATCAGACACTACTCCCCATCAGCACCATCAGACACTACATCAGCACCATCAGCACCATCAGACAGACACTATCCCCATCAGCACCATCAGACACTATCCCCATCAGCACCATCAGACACTATCCCCATCAGCACCATCAGACACTATCCCCATCAGCACCATCAGACACCACCCCATCAGCACCATCAGACACCACCCCCATCAGCACCATCAGACACTACCCCCATCAGCACCATCAGACACTACCCCATCAGCACCATCAGACACCCCATCAGCACCATCAGACACTATCCCATCAGCACCATCAGACACCATCCCCATCAGCACCATCAGACACTCATCCCCATCAGCACCATCAGACACTATCCCCATCAGCACCATCAGACACTATCCCCATCAGCACCATCAGACACTATCCCCATCAGCATCATCAGACACTATCCCCATCAGCACCATCAGACACTATCCCCATCAGCACCATCAGACACTATCCCCATCAGCACCATCAGACACCACCCCCATCAGCACCATCAGACACACCCCTATCAGCACCATCAGACACTATCCCCATCACCACCATCAGACACTATCCCCATCAGCACCATCAGACACTATCCCCATCAGCACCATCAGACACTACCCCCATCAGCACCATCAGACACTACCCTATCAGCACCATCAGACACTACCCCCATCAGCACCATCAGACACTACCCTCAGACACTACCCCCATCAGCACCATCAGACACTACCCCCATCAGCACCATCAGACACTACCCCTACCAGCACCATCAGACACTACCCCCATCAACCCCCTGCTATTACTATATATTGAAGAAGGTGTCGACACTTCTGCAGGTACGGGCAGGTGGTGGTAGCCCTGAGGAACCACCGGAAGCTGGACCTCCTGCTGGGGGACGTGGAGGCAAACTTACTGGTGGCGAGAACCAAGAACAAACACGGTCAACACTTCCTGGGTTTTTACCTGGAGAATCATAAAGTCCTCTCCCCTAACACCACCGGCATAATTGGTATGTATACAACACTGATATGTCATCCCATGTAGGTAATCATCTGTGGTACTACTCTCTAACGCTAATTTAAACCTAACCTAACCTAAACTAACTCCACCAAGTACCAGTAGGGTGTTGAATCATTTGACCGGGTAGGGGGGATAATCTTCAGGTGGTCCCATTTTATACCACTAGTCCTGCCTCCCGATAAACTGAAGGACATCTGCAACATCAAAGGGAAATGTACAAGTCTTTTTATCGTAACATGAACAGGATCAGTGATTAACAGGTTTATGATGAAAAGGGGACAGTGTGTGTGTGTGTGTGTGTGGGCTTATTGAGCTAATAACGACCAAAGGTGAATAGAGTGAGACAAAATGCAACGTTGTATTTTTTAAACTACATATGCTTCATCGTTCTCTCTCTCTGTCTGTCTCTTTCTCTCTCTCACATAATTCATACGCTTCCCAAACTTTGCATATATTACTTACTTTCATGTTACATACTGTATTTAGAGACAGTATAATGTCTAAATGCGAATGGTGAAAAACAAAGAAAATCAGGCCAGGTGTCGGGGTCTTCGTTAGACACTACCAGTTCCACCATTCTAGTTGCTCTAAAACTAACTCTAAAAAATTTGTGGACACTTTAGGAGTAAATTTTTGTCCCAAACTTTAAAGTAAAGGCATTATAACAGAAAATATGGACTAATCTACCTTCAAATGTAGTAAAAATATAATTATTTGCCAGTACGCCAAAGATCTTTGAATAACATGACCGTAATGACCGCCCAAGTTTCACTTTGTTTACATTTCAATAATTATATTCCCTCAGCTTCTATCAAAACTAAAGGCCTTAATTTGAGGAAGAACAAGAGTTTACTTGTCAAAAATAATATCTTTCGAAATGTAATGTTAATCAGATAAAGAATACAACTTGTGTGTTGTTAAAGGAATTAAGAGTTTGCAAACTTGCCTCTCACACACTGCCCGAGCAGTTAGATATGGCCAGACATTACTCTTCATTCCTTACCTCTACCATCCCCACCAAGTAGTAAACTGGGGATCAGGAATGATGTGTTTATAACTGTACTGTACACTACACAAGGTTGACTATCCCAGGTATAAACACTACTTACTGTATATGTTCGGTGTTACAAACTATATCTTAAAACACACACAGTAATATTTCTTACCAGATTATAACAATTATACCAATAAACATATATCTTTTTCTCAAAATCTATGTATCTATCATATCTATCATGTCTGTCTGTATGTCTATCATGTCTATCATGTCATGTCAGTGTCTGTTTGTCTGTCATGTCATGTCATGTCAAGTCATGTCTAGCAATGTCTGTCTGTCATGTCTGTCATGTCATGTCATGTCTGCCTCATGTCATACCTGTCAGTCATGTTATGTCTGTCTGTCATGTCTGTCTGTCTTGTCTGTATGTCATGTCTGTCTGTCTGTCTCTCTCTGCGTCTCCCCCCCCCCTCTCTCTGTCTGTCTATCTATTTTCCTATACACTTTAATACACAACTAATTCCTGTGCTCATCAACAGGACAGTTCGCCTACAAGACAGTGGGGAGGATCGATGCTGGCAACAACCATAACAACACTCAGCCTCAGGAGAAGTGAGTTGATGAGCATTAGTTGAGTTGAGGATGAGGTCAAGTGAGCAGTGACGTATTATAACGTGTTGAGATGAGTTAAAGATGAGTTGGGATATTGAGGAGAAAGGAGGGATAAGGAGGTTAGTGAGAAACAGGAGAAGAAGATTAAGGAGGAGGAGGTTGTTGAGGAGGAGTAGGAGGAGGTTAAGGAGGAGGAGAGGGAGGAAAGGTAAGGAAGAGGAGAGGGAGGAAAGGTAAGGAAGGGTATTAAGAGGTAATCAGTATCCAGTGGTTGTCAAGGAGATAGATTGAATGAGAAAGAGAGAGAGAGAGAGAGAGAGACTATTATTAGCAACCTGACAACGAATTACTCCAGTATAAATAATCTTCTTTTACTCGTATCATCCATCAATAAGACGTCACTACTTCTCTCCATCCTCCTACCATTGATCTTATTTGCCTTCTTATTTTCTCCACCATCCCACAGTTATTCCCTCTTCCCCTTCTCCTGAGGATTATCGTCTAAATATTCCTTCACCCAAGACAATAATGACAGGTTAATATAAATGTTATCAACGTCGTCATTATCATCTTTTTCCTCAATCATCATCCAGTCCACCTTCCCTCAATTGATCACTTGAAACAATGTGTGCGTGTGTCTGTGTTTTGTATGTAATAATAATAATAATAATAATAATAATAATAATAATAATAATAATAATAATAATAATAATAATAATTAACGGTTTAATGAAAGAACATGGCAGACAAAAGGCTGAAAATATACAATAAACAGATGATAAAATTGGGTGATGCTTCCGTAAATATGGCAAGAGTGATAAAGTGATGAATGAATGGGAGCTGGGCGTCAGGAGGCGGAGGTTGGGGGTGTTAAATAAGTAATGCTTCTCAATATGGTTTGGAATCTCATGACGGCTCTGAGTCCACCCTGTGAAGACGATCACCACCGCTGCCACGACCACAGCACCTCACGCCACACTCCACGAAAGAGGTCTACCGAGTGTAAGGAAAAAATGGCAATATTCTTTAAATATTACCATTTTGTTTTGGCCAGAATTGTCAAATTAGATAACAAAAATAACCTAACCTAACCTAACCTAACTCTACCTAATCACTAGCACTGATGACTAACCCTAATCAATCTACGGTCCCGATGGCTACCGATTGATTCTACCAATTTGAGGTATATTATAATTGGCAGCCTTTTAGACTATTTTACCCATATATAGTTAGTCTGAGGTCGCTTCTACTCACGTGTGTGTGTGTGTGTGTGTGTGTGTGTATTATAACTCCGCCTCTCTTCCCCAGAGTTAGACTGGCGGTGATTCAGCCTGATCATCACCGGACGTACCAAGTGTCAGAAGTAAACGCTTTCCTCTCCAGCCGTTTCTCGCCGCTACACAAGACCCACGTCACCTGCCTCCACATCCGCCAGCAAGGTCGTGGACTGGTGGCTGGCACCCCTGCTAACTACCTGCTACCCTGCCTCACCTGCTGACCTGCGCCTACACTCTCTCACCTGCTGACCTGTGTCTATCCTCCCTCACACGCTGAACTGCGTCTACTGACCTGTGCTTACCTCCCTCACATGCTGAACCTGCGCTTACCTCCCTCACCTGCTGACCTGCGGCTACCCCCTCGCTTGCTGACCCGCACTTACCCCCTTCACCTTGTGACCCACGCTAAGCCCTCTTCACCTGCTGACCTGCGCCTACACTCCCTCACCGTTGACCTGCGTCTACCATCTCTCACCTGCTGACCTACGCTTACCTCCCTCACCTGCTGACCTGCGCCTGCACCCTTCACCTGCATTTAAATTCCCTCACCTGCTGACCTGCGTTTAAACTTCCTCACCTGTTGTCTTTTCATCTTTCTGTCATTTACTGGCCTCCTCTTACCCCCTAACTCGCTGACCTCTCCTCCCTCCTTCAACTCGACCACCGTCCAGCACTGTCACCAACAATGGCCCGGGAGAGGCTGCAGGACCGTGCAACAGAAGCGCCACCCACCACCGTTACCCCCCTCCCTTCTCCTGCCCTGGAGACCTAGATATGGGCCCTTGAACATCCTGGGATAAGGAACAGAGACATAACCCATTTACGGACAGACAGTAGAAGGTAACATGGACACAGGTTCGAGTCTACATCCACCAAGTGAGAAAAGATTCGACTCAATGCCAGTATGTGAACACGGTGACCCAGGAACGAGTCTTTGAAAACTTGACCAACCAAGGAATGAAGCTTCGAATTTCCGACCAACTGAGGAGTGGAGCTTCGAGTTCCCGACCAGCTGAGGAGTGGAGCTTCGAATTCTCAACCAACTATGGAACAAAGCTTCGAATCCTTGGGTTTTTTCTCTTTCCCTCCAGGAATCAAGAAAGACGGAGTCGTACTCACACAACCCTGTATATTATTCGCTTACGACAGTACCAAGGCAATTACAGTCACAACCAGTTATTTATAATTTCAGTTACAGTTTTATTACAGTTTTAAACAGATTAATCACAATATCAGTTCCAATTTACACAATCACTACTATCAATAGTTACCAATACAGCAGGCACACTTTCAGGCCAGTCGCAATAATTATTAAAGTCCACAGTTACAAAGACAGTTACAAATACAGACCACAGTCATAATTACATACCACAGTTACAAGGACAATCACAAATAGACCCAGAGTTCACAGTTAGTTACAGTCACAGCTGATACAGTAAATATTACAGTTCATTGTACCCACGTGAGGAAAGGACTTGACCAAACGTGCGACTAACTATATCACACAAGCAGTCATATTGCCCTGTATTCTGACGTCCTCCCTGTATACTGACGTCCTCCCTGTATACTGACGTCCTCCCTGTATACTGACGTCCTCCCTCTATGCTGACTTCCTCCCTCTATGCTGACTTCCTCCCTGTATACTGACGTCCTCCCTCTATGCTGACGTCCTCCCTGTATACTGACGTCCTCCCTGTATACTGACGTCCTCCCTCTATGCTGACTTCCTCCCTGTATA